ATATTGAATATCATGATTTTAGCCCATTCACTCGGCTTGAAGACATCCTCTGTTTTATTTTTTTCTTCCTGATACAGTATCATCTATCGGAAGGAAATATTTAAGCTAGGAAATGTAGTTGAAAGATCAAGTTAATAAAAAGGAAAGTTGTAGGGGTTTTTTAAGATTCGTTTATTTATTTATACATACAAGAACTGGGGTGTAGGCCAGAGGTGCAGGGAGGTGAGAGGATTCACCAGAGCCAGAGTGGGGAACAGAACAGGCAGATTGACCAAGTACACTGCTGAGGGGAGCAGCAGGTGAGTCAGGAGAGGTCTGCTGCACAATGTGGTTTGCTCCCCGGCCAGCCAGGGATCGAACTCATGCTGCAAAGGCTGCGGATTGCTTCATAGGTTGCATCTTAACCCCTTGTGCCACCAGGGAGGCTCCCCCCATGAGGATATTTTCTACCTGCTCTAAGAATCAAAGCTTCTCCCTCTAATTGTATTTCTAAAATACAGTTCTAGGGCCTCTCCTGGTGGTGCAGCAGTTGAGCGCTGGGCTGTGAAGCTGCCCGCAGCCTCTGCAGCACTAATTCGATCTCTGGCAGGCCAGGGAGTTACCCACATGGCGCGACAGACCTCTCCTGCCACGCCCGCTGATCCCCTCAGCAGTGTATTTCGTCAGTCTGCCTGTTCTGCTCCCCGCTCTGTCTCTGTCTCTCACCCTCCCGTGCTTCTGACTGTACCCAGTGCTTGTATAAATAAATAAATAAATCTTTTGAAAAAATAAAAATATAAGGTCAATTTAATTCAATTTAACCAATTTGACCTGTTGGTATTTATTAAAAAAATAAAAATAAAATACAGTTCTAATCCTAGTGCTTCAATTTATAAAATCCTTCAGTGGTTTACCTTGGCACAAAGAATAAATCCAAGCATTGAGGACCTACATCTACAATCTGCCTCAACCTAAATATTAGCCCCCTTTCTTTCATATGCCAATTATACACCCCACACCTCACTGAAAACCTCCTCACTTCCTAAACAAGACATACATTTTATTCGACTCACATAGTTCTCTCTCTGGTGTTCTCATTCCCCACTTATCTACTTGTAAAAATTCTAATCATCCCTATCAAATTTTCCTTCTTGCTAAAGCCTCAGCCTCAGCACTACTGACATTTCACATGAAATAATTCTTTGTTGAGTGGGGGTTGATCTGTGCATTGTAAGATGTTTAGCAGTATCTCTGGCCTTTACCCACCAGATACCAATAGCAATCTTCTCCCACGCCCCTATCTGCAGTTATGACAATTAAAAATGTCTCCAAACATTCAAATGTTCTCTAGGCTTCAAAATCACTCCTGGTTGAGAACCATTGCTCTTAAAGTGTTCTCTTTACTCTCAATGAGAAATTATTTCATCCTACTCTTTACTCCACATTACTTTGTGTCTCTATTAAAATCCCTGCAACTAAAGCAATAACAAGAACAGCAACAATAACAACTTCTAGCATCATCTCTATCTTGTTTCATGGTTCTTACATGTTTTTCCCCTTCCACTGGGTCTGTGAAGTTTTTATTTTTTAAGATTTATTTATTTATGCATACAAGAACTGGGGTACAGGCCAGAGGTGTGGGAGGTGAGAGGATTCACCAGAGACAGGGTGGGGAGCAGAACAGGCAGACTGAATGAAATACACTGCTGAGGGGAGCAGCGGGTGAGATACGAGAGGTCTACTGCACCATGTGGGTCTCCTCTCTGGCTGGGGATTGAATTCGTGCCACAGTGGCTGCTGATAGCTTCATAGGTTGTGTCTTAACTCCTTGCGCCACCAGGAAGGCCCCCCTGTGAGCTTCTTGAATACAGAATATCTTCCTGGTATATCCAGACCCAGTATAGAGCCTTACCACACAGGGGGTAATCTACGCATATTTGCTGAATTGACACGATATAATAAGCACTGTCTTGGTCTGTTTATCTGCCTTCTGACTAAAGGTTTGATGACCACATCAATTGAAAGATTGAGAATATAATTACTCTAATGATGCTTTGCAAGTTTCTGTCCAAGTTCTTATAACTTACGTCTCCTAAGTTGGCAAGTTATAAAAAGCATGAAGAACAATAGATCCTGGAGATTTTTTTTTAAATCCTGACATTTTGAAATTGTTTGTTGTTAAATAAATAATTCTCAGACTCAGTTTAGGCTAACATAGTAACATGGTCCATTTCAGTAAACATTTTAGTTCAAAACATTTGCAGGCTGAATGATGCTTTTAAAGGTTTAAAATAGAAATATAAAGTAATGGTTTGAACTACAAAGCACATCACTTCAGAAGATGCTTATAAACTGTTGCCTTCTGGATTGCTTAATTTGTATAAATTTCACTTGCCTGAATTGCTTGTAAATTCCTTGGGTAGGGCAGGACATTTCTCCTCTTTCCCTGACTACTTGCTAAATTAATACTTTGGAGTTAAGTGGTTGAAACTTTCCAATAAGGGAAATTAATCCAGTGACCTAGAATCCTCCAGGAACTGAGTTTAGAGATAAGTTTTAGAAGCTGTGGTTTGGTAAGGCAAAGGATGACTCTAGGGTACATTTCCCTCTTTGTCCCTAGGGACACAGTTGATGCCTGTTGCTGGGACTTTTGTCATTCATAATAAAAGAGATGGTTTCCCTGTACCTCTGGAGCAACCTGATGCCACATAATTCAATTCTGAGTAGTGGAATAAACATCAAAATAACATATGGGACTTCTAGAAAGGATCTCACTTTTAAAAAAGTGAAGGGGGATTTTTACTCTTCTGCAATCATTCTCTTTTTCTGGCCTTTAACTCACATGTAGTAACTGGAAGTCCTGCAGCCATTTTAAATTATGGGTAATCTTGATGATGGAAGTATGTCCTAGTGTGGTGGTGGAAAAAGACAGAAGCTGGGATTCCTGATGACACTGCAGGACTGTCATACTTGTCCCAATTACCTCTCTCTGCATTTCTTTTACTTACTTTAAGCACACTACTACTTTGGACTTTTGTGTTTCTCTGCAACACACATTACATTAACTGACACATAATAATTTGTAGTTGGATATTTTTGAATGCTTACTATGTGCTAAGTCTGTAGTTCTGAATGAAGAGAGCACATTACAAAAAACTTTCAGAGTTTTCAGAAAATGCAAGAGTTGTATCACACTTGAGACTCTGTATCAAAATTTACATGCTGGGCCTCCCTGGTGGCGCAGCGGTTGAGCGCTGGGTTGCGAAGCTGCCCGCAGCCTCTGCAGCGCCGGTTCGATCCCCGGCTGCTCCCCGGCCACCAGAGGAGGGTCCCACATGGCGCGCAGACCTCTCCTGCCGCCCGCTGCTCCCCTCAGCAGTGTACTTCGGTCCTTCTGCCTGCTCTGCTCCCCGCTCTGGCTCTGGTGAATTCTCTCACCCTCCCGCGCTTCTGACTGTACCCAGTGCTTGTATAAATTAAATAAATAAATAAATAAATAAATAAATAAAAATCTTTAAAAAAAAAAAAAAATTTACATGCTGGACCTCTGCCATAAAAAATACAAACACACTATTATATATGTCAACAAATTAGATTAGTAGATAGCATGAATATATATAAATATATATGTAATATATGTAGTGTGTGTATACACTTACATCTATCCATGTCTGTTTCATCGCTTTATAGTTTTTCATAGTTTTCCTTTTTCACTTTTCATTTCATTTCATTTCATTTTCATTTCAAGGTTAGTAATATCCCCGTTTTCATTCTTTATTTTTATTTTAGGAATTTGAATCTTCTCTCATTTTTTTTCCTGGTCAAGTCTAGCTAAAGATTTGTCAATTTTGTGCAGCTTTTCAAGAAACCAAATTTTAGTTTCATTGTTTTTCTCATTGTTTTTTTCTGTTCTAGCTATTCTATATTGCTTTTATTTGATTTGATTTCTACTCTTTTTCACCCCCTTTCTTTGGGTTTAGTTGGCTCTTCTTTTTTGAGTATCTTAAGATAAAATTTCAGGTTATTTGTTACAAATATTTAAATTTCTAATGTCTTTTTTGATGTGTACATTTATAGCTATACATTTTCCTCTGAAGACTGCTTTAGATGCATCATGAATGCATTTTTAAAGCCCTGCAGAGGATTTTGATATGCACATTTGGTGAGAATAGACTGTACTTCTTTGCCACTGTCAAGTTTGTTTTTTATTATTGTTGTTTTTCCATTTCTCAGCATGATTGCTGACCTTTTTAGTAGTCAAAGGTTTTCTTATAAAGCAAAATGCCTTGGTTTGAGTTTGTCAGGTTTGCAGAGTCTTGTTTGCGCCATAAAGCTTTCTTTCACAGATTAATGTAAAAAGCAAGGACATATTTGCTCTACTTGGTCTTCTTTGTGAAATGACAACTTCCTAGGTTATATGGAAGTTTCCTTTTCTGCCTATATTTTGGAAGCCTTGACACATGTTTATATCCTTTAAGTAGAGGTCAGTTAGTAGTGGAAGCTTCCTATGCAATCATAAGCCCTTTCCCTTGGCCCATGTCCTTTGTTATTTGCCTGGCTTTCTCCATTATTTGGCAGCATTTTCACCCACTCCACGTGACAAGTGACATCATTGCTATAATGAGAATTCCAAGCGGCACCACTGGAATAAAGCCCATCTGTGTGCCTGCTCCCACACTTGACAAAACAAATTCCAAATTCATTCAGCATGCCGCTGCCATTTAGTCACTGTGACATATCCCAAATTTTGGACTCTGTGCAAAAACCAATCTGTGCCCACAAAATTAATCATGGAACACATTTTATGACGTTTGACAACAACTTAAAAGGTTCTCATCTCTGGCAGGTGGCTCTGCCAATCTGCAAGTATGTGCATGACAAATTTTGAACAGTATATTGTGTGGCTGAAAATACATCATGCAGGATGCACACCCTGGAGAGAACTAGAGTGAGTCCAACCAATCCTGAAGTCTGTCTCAGGGACACAGAAGCCAGACCACTGTCTCGTGAAGGAAGGATGATGGCCCCAGGTACAAATGGAAAGCCAAAGAAAAGGCAACAGCTCGTGTGCCAGTAGATGCTGAGAACATTGGCACAATTGCCTGTGTTGGCAGGACCAAGAGTTTGAGATGGCTAATTTAAGCGACAAGATCCTGGCAAACAGATTTATTTAGGGCAAGGGTGCGTCAGGAAGATGCCAGAAAAATGCATCAATCTGTGCCTTTACATGTACTGTAGAGTGATGATGAAACAATTGACATTCAAAAAGTAAACCCTTTCTTTATTATAATCTGTAACTCATCCCAACAAAAAGTAGGGTTTACTTTAGATCTCTTGTATTCCAAGGTGGGGTTTTGCGTTCTGACCTGACATCTGTGATTCATTCAAAAGGTGTTCTTGAAGAGATTTCCCCATACCGTTGTATTTGATTAGATCAACTGTTTACTTTAAAAGCAGGCTAATTTACAATTCATAATATTCACTTCAAATAAAGGAAATCAGTTATCTAAAATTTTACTTGCTGAGTATATTGCACCAAACTTTACTGGAAAAAGAAAGAAGACAGAAGCTTTAGCTTTAGCTGTACTAATAGAGGGCTGCATAGATTATTTTACTGACGAGTAATTTTTTTCTGCAGTAAGATGCAACTGTTCTAAATATCTATCCCATATAGTAGCACCTATTTGTGTAGAGTGTGACAGACCATAAAATAGTAAAACATTCTACTTAGCATATCTGGCTTCCTCATATTACTTACCATTTCGGAGCTTCTCTATATAGACTCCTACCCTTAAGTTTCCCCTACCCTTTTACTCGATGCTGTCTTAGTCCATTGCATTTGTAATGGCATGGGTTAAGAAAACTATCATTCTATAGCAGCTACTTAGGACTTTGTTTTTATAGAAGAACTAAATTTGCACAAAATAACTTTGACTGGGATTTGACTTCCTATCTATTCTTCTTCTTCTCTGAGGCAGGAAGTAACATGAGGAAGCAACAGGTGGAAAGGAGTTCTTCCACAGGAAGAGAGAGCAGTTCTGGATTAGGAAGCCTGGTGATTCAATATCTGGCAAAAGCTTACAAGCAAAAGCAGCTCTACTTCTGCAGTGAAGGAGTTGGACTCTCAAGGTCTCTCCCAACTCTGATACTTCAAGGTATATTAATTAAGGAGGGGCATTTTAGGCAATATCTCTTTACAAGTTAGCTGATTCTTTCATTTATGGTGTATGTTGAATACAAATTGGTTGTTTGTTAATGGAATCATATCTTCCTCTGAAAATTTTTTCTTCCTTACCTATGTTTAAATAATTAATCTATTCTGATTCCCAATTATTAAAATATGCCTTTTTATTCTTTCTTTTTTTTTTAAAGATTTATTTATTTATGCATACAAGAGCTGGGGGACAGGCCAGAGATGGGGGGGTGAGAGGATTCACCAGAGACAGAGTGGGGAGAAGAACAGGCAGATTGACTGGAATACACTGCTGAGGGGATCATTGGGCGAGTCAGGAGAGGTCTGCTGCGTCATATGGGTTGCTCCCTGGCCAGCCAGGGGATCGAACTCGTGCTGCAGAGGCTTCGGATTGCTTCATAGTGCTGTGCTTAACCCCTTACGCACCAGGGAGGCCCGCCTTTTTATTCTTTCTGAAAAATTTTAGGATCTACTTATGCCTGGAATTCTGAAATTTCATTATGATTATATGTATTAAAAGTTCCTGAGGACAGAGAAAAGATCATTCAAAAGAAGAATGGCAAACAATCCACAATCCTAGCTCATGAGAATAGCTCCTATCCCTGCCATTCAGGGTAGAACCACAATATTCATGGGACTTGAGGTATTGTCTCAGTGGTGAGACACAGCTCTTCACAAAAGACTAAACAGGTTACAACTCATGAAGTCTAAAAACAAGCCTCAAAAACACAAAATCATTTTCAAGTATCCTATCTGCATTTCAAAACAAAAATTAATATAAGAATACAAAAATATCCAGGACTCAAAAAATTTAAGTTTGCAATACTCGACATCCTATGTAGATATAACAAATTACCAGTCATGTAAGAAGCAGGAAATTATGAGGCATAATGAGGAGAAAAATCAATCAATGGAAAAAGTGTCTGCAATGGCACAAATGATAGAACTAGTAGACATAGATATTAAAGTTATTATAATTTTATGTGTTCAAGAGGAAAGACTGAACATGTTAACTAAGGAGAGGGAAAAATGCATGCAGAAACACACAAAATGGAACTGCTAGAGATAAGACTATAATATCTGAAATGAAAAATGAGCTAGAGATTAAGAGAATATTAGATGTTGAAAAAAGAAAAACAGAAAAGGTTGAAATAAAACAAAATGAAATGAGCATCAGGGAGTTTTAAGACAATAGAAGCAGCAGGATATATACTTAAGTGGAGTCACCTATGGAGAGAAGCTGGAAGATATTTTAAGGGGCCTCCCTGGTGGCACAAGGGGTTAAGACGCAAACTATGAAGCTATCTATAGCCTCTGCAACATGAGTTCGATCCCCGGCTGGCCAGGGAGAAACCCATCTGGCACAGCAGACCTCTCCTGACTTGCCTGCTGCTCCCCCCAGCAGTGTACCTCAGTCAATCTGCCTGTTCTGTTCCCCACTCTATCTCTGGGGAATCCTCTCACCCCCTACACCTCTGGCCTGTACACCAGTTCTTGTATGCATAAATAAATCTCAAAAAAAAAAAGAAAAAATATTTTAAGAAATAAGGGCAAATGTCTGTAGTTGACTTGCTTCAAGTGATAACCTCACTACCTAGCAAGGCAACTGGTAGACATTAGGCATTCAATAAATGTTTCTTGAACACATTTGTAGTAGAATAATGTATAAGAGATAAGCACAACAGCGCTATTTGCAGAGTATGAGGCCGTTAGTACTCAAAGCACAGTATGAAGAAAAGAGCGTAGTAGAAGTGGCGTGTCCTCAGTGACCTGGAGGGTGAGTTTAGTTTGGAGGGTATAGCATTTGGAGAATTGGAGAAGAAAAAGAAGAACATTCCACATAAGAGCAGCACAAGTGAAGACTTGGAAACAAAATAAACTTGGTTTTGACTATACCATCTGGACTAGCAAGTGGTGGTGGCACTTGAGGGATAAATGAGAAGCAAGGTTAAATGGGTGAATAAGGGTCTGAGAATGCAACGCTTTAGAATAGGAAACGGGAGAAACCATTTAAAGTTTTTAAAGAGAAATCACTGATGATGAAATCAGGGTTCAAGGGGAGAAGTGTATAACGGTGATATTTATGATAGGTTAAAAGAAAATATAACTGAATGGAAAGAGTGGGTCTGGAGCAATCAGGAGATTGTTAAAACAATTTTGTCATGAAGTGTTGAAAACCGTATATTACCAGCACAGAACAGAACTTGCAACTATTTCATTTAAATTAAGAACTACGAATACCGGATGGTCTCACTCATAGCAGGAGTCTAGAAAACTTAAATAAGGGACCAGGAAAATGAATAACTATAAGAAAGTGAAAATCAAAATCAACAAAAAACTTTATGGGTGGTTGGGGCGGGGAGGGATTGGGGTCAAAATAAGGGGATTGTAATTGTATGGGGAATATAAAAATAAAATTTATTTTAAAAAAATAAATTAAGAACTACGTTTTCTCAGGGTGCATAAAATTTTCAAAAGTGGCCCTAAGAATCGGCAATGGAACAATATCATTTACTTCATATTTCATTTACGTCCGATTTCAGACAAGCTTTTAAAAATTGTTTCTTTGATGTGCCCTGAGTGCCTTGTTTCTCTCGCTCACCCAAGTGCTTCACACCTTTTGTTCTTCCCAGTCCTTCTTTCAAACAGACTTGAAAGTAATTTTTAAAATCAATTCAGTGTTGTCAGACACAGAGTTTACAATACCCCGTCTATACAGGTGGGTTTAATCCCAGAATTTAATGGAAAAGAGGACTCTTCGTCGCACAGATGGGGAAACCGAGGCCCCAAGCGGTTCAAACGAACTGTCCAAACTCAACGCCATTGTAGTCAAGCTGGGACAAGAATCCAGAAGCTTCCAAGGGTAGAGAAGGGTTCGAAACGAGTGGGATAACGAAGTGAACCCCAAGGGAAGAAGCTTGAGTCAGGACATGGCTCTTTTCAACTTTGGGGGGGGGGGGGGCACATGATTCCAGAACCTTCGACCCGCCGAAGGAGCTCGGCACCCAGCTGCCTCATCACCCTGGGCCCGCGCAGCCGCCAACCACCCCGCCACCGCGGTTCCCGCTCTCGCGATACTGGCGGCTCTAGCCTAGTCCGCTTCCCGCTAGGCCCCGCCCCGTAGGCCCCGCCCCTCCACCGCAGCCCTTTTGTCGTCATTTCCTGTGGGTCTGCAGGCAAAGGGACAAGATGGCGGCGCTGGGGGAACCGGTGCGGCTGGAGAGGGGTGAGTGCGGCCGAGGCTGGACCGAAGTGGGTGGCGTGGGTGGAGGAGTGCCGTGCCGCCGAGGGCGGGTGGAGGGGCGGCCAGGCTCCGACACCCGAAGCCAGGCTGTTCCTCGAGCTAGCGCGGTAACTGCCGACGTCGTAGCGTCCGACCCCAGGGAGGGCGCTGGCGATTTCTGGACGCTTCCCAGACCCCTCGTCTGTGCCTGGGGGCCCGGCACTATTATACATCACCGGTTCGCAGTCACTTGCTGCAGGCGCGCTCCCGCGGTGGGTGTGGGAGAGGCTGTGTGCAGAGACGTGTCAACCTGAGGAGCAAACACTGCACGCCCAGTTCGGACAGACTATACGCACTGCCCGTATTGTACGCGATCAAGTGGGTGTCCCCGCTTTCACCCCCACCCTGGACAGACAGCGCATTCACACGGAAACCTCCTTCCCCCTATTTTTTGCACAAACTCCAACGTTACTTGTATTTCTGTTGGGGTGTTTTCCTGGCTTTGGTGCCTCTCCCAGGTACGGAGAAGGTGCTTTAAAAACAATCCTACGGATGTGTTCTTGGGCAGATTATATAACCTGATGGAATCGTGGTAGTTGTTAAATACTTGAAAGTGCATTCTTTTCCCTTCTTTACAAACCCTGCAATTGGTGTCCGACCGGTTGCTTACGTTTTAGAATAAACTGTCGAGGAAAATAAGGTCTGTTTTGCTGAGTGGAAACCGAAAAGCCTGTGGAAAATGCATAGCTGTGCTCCTGTGAGGGCCCTGTAACAGATTTTCAGCATTCCACTTTTTCCGCTCCAGTTTCTTTATTTCCAGTGATTTCTGATGTGCTTTTGACACACCGATATTAGAAGTCACTGCTAAGTGTCAGCAAGTACGAACTAAACATTTTAAATACCAGTAGCACACTAGTATAGAATGGATATTGAAACTATCTGGTAAATAATAACACTTGCAGTTACAGTCTGAATGTTAAGTAATAAGAAGGAAATAAATTTTTAAGAAGGAAATAAATTTTTAGAAATACTGTAGAGAAACTTTTTCTAATTCGTTCCACAAAGGATTGCTTATTTTAATTTTGTTTATTCATTATGGTATTCATTATCTGTAAGCCTCTTTATAAGTGACATTGTTTCTCTCCAACCTACCAGACCACTAATTAAAGCATCATTTTTGACAAGGGAGTAGCTACTCTGGGAACACTTGATAAGTTTGACCTAAGCCTGTGACCTCTTCCTCCTGAGCACAGTGTCATTATGCTTTGTACATGGGAAAAGATCTGTTTGGTGTTAAACAGGAGTGGGTGCTTTTCATTGAAAGCCAGTTGTAGGCTTCTGACATGTTGCAGTCTTTTATATTTTTAAGTGCAGCATAAAATGTGGAGCTTCACCATTGACATTTTGTTTTGGTAGTCATGGTTTTGGGTTTACTGGGTGGGTTTTTGTCTTTTTTTTTTTTTTTTTTCCTTCTGTTTCAGAGTTTCAAAGAATGCTCAGCACCTTAGAAGGATGAATTAGTGATTGTTGTCATAGAAAGTCAGATTATATCAACTCTGACTGTTTGGAATTTTGTTAACAGACTTTAACAACAAACTCAGCAGTATAGGGCCTCCCCTGGTAGCGCAGCGGTTGAGCGCTGAGTTGCGAAGCTGCCTGCAGCCTCTGCGGCGCCGGTTTGATCCCCAGCTGCTCCCCGGCTGCTCCCCGGCTGCTCCCCGGCTGCTCCCCGGCCACCGGAGGAGGGTCCCGCATGGCGCGCAGACCTCTCCTGCCGCCCGCTGCTCCCCTCAGCAGTGTACCTTGGTCCTTCTGCCTGCTCTGCTCCCTGCTCTGGCTCTGGTGAATTCTCTCACCCTCTCGTGCTTCTGACTGTACCCAGTGCTTGTATAAATAAATCTTAAAAAAAAAAAAAATTTTTAAAAAACAAAAAAAAAAAACTCAGCAGTATAAAAATTAGTGCTTGTGATGACGATCCTGAATGCTTGCAGAAGCATCAAAACAGGATCAGTGGAACACATTTGAGCACATATTAGCTAGTCAAGGTTCAGTAAAGGGTATTTTGCTGTTTCAACTTTTTAATTGGATATTTTTGTAGAGCTTAATGTTTTGTCACTTTGTAAATCAAAATAATTTATTAACAGCCGTTGGTGTTGGCATTGGCCATTTGGTGGTGGGAAATCAGAAAGGTCAAAGTTTATTTCCCTTGCATTTACTTAATATAAGTTTAAGGTTTTGTTTCCTAAATTTGAAAAAAAAATACATTTTCGTGGTTTTCCAGCTGCAAGCACAAAGAAGGCTATGCTAATATTATAAAAGAAATTGTTTAGGTCCTTCAGTATAATATAAAATTCAAAGTTTCTACCACTTAGACAAAAGGGAGCTAGGAGTAGAAGAATAGGTTCTCTGTGCCCCTTGAGTGCAAAAACAGGTTGGGCAGAGGAGTCAAAGTAGAGATAGTCCTTAACAGAGTTGTAACATGACGCCGAATCTTATGAAAATTTCTTAATTCATAAAATACTTACCCTCCCTAACATGCTTAATAAATTTATGTAAATGTGTAGGCACCCTTCATATTTCTTATGATTAATTGCTGCCAGTGTAACATAACATTTATGCTTGCTGTATGCCATGCCCTTTCCGTATATTTTTTGGTTTAGTTGTAAAGTAGTTCTTATGAGGAAAGTACTGTTGTTTCCATTTTACAATACAGAAATTGAAACAATGGGGAGATTAAATAATTTGTCCCCAAGATCACAAAGCTAGTGTTAAAACCAAAGTAACAAAACTAACAGTATTTTTTTCTATTTTTAAACATGTATTTGACCTTGTTTTAATTAAAACATTGTGTCAATGATCCAAAGTTGAAAATAGACTTATTAATTTCATTCAGTTATACTGTTATATTAAATATGTCCTTACCACATAATGCATCTGTTATTGAATAGTTTATATCTTCATATATGCTGTGTGTTCTTTTGGGAAATGTACAGTTGTTTGATTAACGCATGTTTTGTTTTCTCAGTGAGTTGGTTGCTAATAATGATAGGTAAATTTTTATTGACTGAATAGTTCCTGATAAAATTGTCAGCTTTTCAGAGGCAGTACAGTGTTCGTGTGTCTATCAGATTTGAGCCCCACTCCTTTTCCTGTGGTATTTAGTACTATCTTGAGTTTATCTATATCTCTGAAAAATGCTGTTTTTCAGATTTTATACTGTACAGTGTCAGTATTCCTAATCTGCTATAAAATTTAGCATTCTCAGATTTTATATTACCACTCACCATAAGTAAGTATACACACACCTCCTCACTTCCCCACCTCCACACATAAGCTCACAATCTTATGCTGCTTTTCCACCTTGCCTTCTTATTTCGTGGTAGTCCTGAAGGAAGGAATCTTGACTGCTGTACTGTTAGATAGACATTCAGAAAAACTTCAAAAAAATTACCTATCAGTGTGTGTGTGTTTAAATTTAGATATTTGTAGAGCAATTGAATTGTTGGAAAAACTGCAAAGAAGTGGAGAAGTACCACCACAGAAACTGCAGGCTTTACAAAGAGTTCTTCAAAGTGAATTCTGCAATGCTGTAAGAGAGGTGAGTAAATGGGATTAAAATTTATTAAAAACTTGATCGAACTAGGTAAACAAATTTGAGTTCAGAATTTCTTAAGAAATTGAATGTTAGAAAGACGTTAGAACTCTTGCGTTTTTGGAGTTCCTGATAGAAAAACATTTTACAAAGATGATAACTTTGCCGAAAATTTTTACACATTCATTGACTTCACAGAGAACTCAAACATGGTGTGTTCTGAGATTTAAAATCACGATGATAACTTTGGATTTTACAGGTGTATGAGCATGTCTATGAGACTGTGGACATCAGTAGCAGTCCCGAAGTGAGAGCGAATGCAACTGCAAAGGTTTGTTTTTTCATTTACTAAGAGTGAGAGAATTCTTTGTGAGTCAAGTTTAAAATATGTTAATTTATTAATAAGCTTATTTAATTCATAATAAGCTTATTTTGGAAAATAACTTAGAGTGTCTTTCAAACTACATGAAACTTCTCAAGTACCTAGAAATAGGACATTTTTAAATTAACTTTACAAAAGGTATTTTGTCATACCTTTTATATGATAGAATCATACAGTTTAGGTAATGTGTTAGAAATACACTTGTAGACAGTAATACCTGTCACATAACACATAGTTGTTATAGGTACATTGTTATTCATTATGTAAATTTTCATCAAAATTCTGAGATATAGATGATCATTTTATTGGTGAGGAAGCATCAAGTTAGATTATTTGCCTCAAACCACATAAATAGTAGCTCGTAGAACTGGAGAATGCCCTGAGGTTGCTCTTTGCTTTCTCTTATACCTTGACTCTTATGGTCAAGCGTAATTACCTCTTTGGCGTTGCAAATGGTAGCTTTATATGCTTTTCTAAGTGTTTCTCAAATCCAAACATTGTCCTCAGTGGCCATCATATATGATTAGAATAAGTTATTACCAACAATAGGTGACTTATACTAGAATTGGTCATGAGTAAGTAATTTTTCTTTTATAGTTAACTGTTTCACAAAAGAAAGTTTTGAATTTGAATACAGTCATTTGGTTATAAATATACAATGGAAAACTGCTCGGCTATGGAGAAAAGTTGAATTTTTGCCCCTTGTGACAACTTTGATGCACATTGAAGAGGTTATACTAAGTGAAATATTGAGAAGTTGAAAGACAAATTCTATACAATTTCACTCCTGGAAGACAGACGAAGAAAATCAAAAGAAAAATACATGCTTTGATTCTGACAATAGAATGGTAGTTACCAGAGTAGAAAAAGGTAGGTGGTGGGTGGAACAGATAGAGGGGGTTGATTGGATGGTAACTAGACCTCTGATGGGAGGCATGCTGTGGCATACACTGTTGTCAGCTATATAATACATCTGACACAGAGTGTTACCTTAAAAAGGTGTGCCTTAAAAAAATACGTACTTAGTTTGGTAGAATAGGAAAAACCTGCAGAAACTTGCATTTAATTCCTGACATATCATTTTTTGAGCCTTAATTCTCTTAGTAAAATGAGGCCTCTGTTAATCTTAGAACATAGTGCTCTTCAGCAAATCTTGATTTCTTTCCTCTTCCCCGTGCCTTTTTTGTTCTTGTATCCTGGGCCATCACAGAAAATGGTACTTAATACCTTAAAAAGCCAAGTGAAGCCAAATATTTCAGCTTTGTGTTAGAATTAGTCTAAATTAGACTAAATTTGAAGTTACTGAAGAACCCCATCTTCTGTGAGGTTTTAGTAATAATGAAGTTAAAGCAAAAAAACAAAACCTTTCACATTGGTTTTAAGTAACCTCATTCTTGATATTGAGTTCTTTCTTTTTTTTTTTGAAAGATTTATTTATTTATACAAGAGCTGGGGTTAAGGCCAGAGGTGCAGGATGATCAGAGAATTCACCAGAGACAGAGCAGGGAGCAGAACAGACAGACAGATCGAAAGCACTGCTGAGGGGAGCAGCGAGCGAGACAGGAGAGTCTGCCGCGCCATGTGGGCACCTCCCTGGACAGCCGGGAATCAAATCAGCATTGCAGAGGCTGTGGACAGCTTCACAGCACGGCGCTCTACCAGCTGCGCCACCAACAACTTAGTCATTTAATTTGTAGTACAAATAGAACAGCAGTCATAATGGGTCCTAGCACCTTTTAGATTATATGGGTGAGTTCTGTCCTGCCCAAAGCTATTCAGCTCTAAAGCTCGGGAGAGCTGGCATACTGGGGGAAGTATGCTCCTCTCTCACGTGCTCATGGTTCATCTGCCTAGCAAGCCTCTGGCCAAGCGCAACACACAAGTTCTAGGCACTGGGTGGACCAGCAGTAGCCTGAACAATCTTAACATGTCTTACATAGTACCAAGGTTTGTTTGCTTGCTTCTCCTTAAAACACAATCCACTGCTAGTTTACCTTTCCCCAGAAGTTGAGGGCATTCAAACACAAAGGTTTGAATGTTTTAAGAGACAAAAGAACCCAAGTAAACAAAGGGTATATTTTTAAACAAGAAAAATTTCCTTTCAAAAAAAAAAAGAAAAATTTCCTTTCAGGCTACTGTTGCTGCATTTGCTGCCAGTGAAGGACATTCTCACCCTCGAGTTGTTGAGTTACCAAAAACTGAAGAAGGCCTTGGATTCAATATTATGGGAGGCAAAGAACAAAACTCTCCAATCTACATATCTCGAATAATTCCCGGTGGAATTGCTGATAGACATGGGGGCCTCAAGAGAGGAGATCAGCTCCTTTCTGTTAATGGAGTGGTAAGGATGAACTTTCTTTCTATTTGTAGTAATATGTTATGACCACTTGGTGGTGCATTTGAGTTACAGAAATAAGATGTAGGGAAAAAAACAGAGACTGTATAGTTTAGAAATCCCTTGGGGGAATCCTAGGCATTACTATTTAATACAGTGATACTTTTTAAAGCACTTTTTAGTATGGTTTGCTTTTCTCCAATGTAAATTAGCAATGTTTAGTGATATTTTTATAAAGTAAGGAGTTAAGACAGAACATTAAAAACATTAAATGAGAAATTTGCCCTCAGTTTAGTTTTATAGAACATCAGTAGCTTGATTTACTTCTGACTTAGTGCAATAACAGACTGGTATTTGTTATTTAGGAACTTAAAAACTAGTTCCTATACACACACTGTATGATTTAACAGGATTATACCCTGATTAAAATGATAAAGCAGGATTGTTTTATAGGTTTACAGTGTTGGAATAATACATTACAACTTTTAAATATTTTGAGTTACTTCCAAAACTAGATACTAATTGCGTGTGTTTTTTTTAGAGCGTTGAAGGAGAACATCATGAAAAAGCCGTAGAACTACTGAAAGCAGCGCAAGGAAAGGTTAAATTAGTGGTGCGATACACACCCAAGGTCTTAGAAGAAATGGAATCACGCTTTGAAAAAATGAGATCAGCAAAACGCAGACAACAGACCTAATGCAGCTCAAAACTTTCTATTCCATTTTGCTTTTAGCTAGAGAAGTTTTACTTGTGACCTACTGATGGCCGCAATGCCAATGATTGTAAAAAAACAAACTTCCCGTGAAATCCTCCTTGCCATTTTATAAATGCCTATTTTAACATCATTTATGGTTCCAGAGATGCATACACTTTTTTCTGACAAGAAAAAGTAAAAGGTGATGAGGGCAATTCTGTCCCTCTGTTTTTACAGGCCTTTTTCAAATGCAGATTTTGTCATAAAGTTGTTATAGATTTTTAAAAATGCTTTTTTAATATTAAAATGTACTTTTACATTCTTAATCTTTTTTTAGGAAAAAAGTTTGCTTTCTTTGGCTACTTATTTAAGAGTAACAGTTCTCCAGTTCTTTTTTTGTTTACTCTGGTTTTTTTTAGCCTATAAAATTGCATCATGGTTTTCCAGGAAATTAAGCATACAGTCTCGGCTACAGCAGTTCATTACACTATCAATGTTAACATCCCTGCTGCATTTTGTACTTTGAACATACATATATAATCAATGGTAAGTCATAAACTAGCACAGTGGAAGTTTTTTACTTTAAACATAATGAATATTCATTTATACTGATTTGTAAAAGCAAGTTTTTAAATATTGAAAACAATCATTGCTAAAATACGTATTCTTTCATAATTGAGTACTGAGACAAGAAGATGTAATGTGTTAGCATTACTGATTACATCTCTTTCTATTTGTAATAGCATAAATTACAAATGCAAAAATAAGTTCAGGTTTCATCTTTTACAAATTTTTTTTAATGCTCTCCATCTTTAAGTATATTTTTTACATTTTGGTCTTTCCATTCTTAGAGATGAGCCAGTTAGTTTGTGGTGGGAAAAAGGGAAGCAGAGTAGTAAAGTGATACTTTTAATCCCACTAGCCTCAAGAGTTTCACACTTAAAACTAGCTCAGTAATAAAGAATTGATTTTTAAATAGGAAGATGGTAGAAGGATATATTTAAGGTATATAGGAATTATGAGCTGATATGTTCATAAAAATCTGAAGACTTTATAAAAATGAGTCAGAACTCATTCATGTTAAAATAGTTGGATTTTGAGATGATCTGTTCAAAAGTGATTTAAATATGATGATGGAAACTTAGAGAGATACCTTCATTTGTCCACTGGATGTCACTATTTTACTGAAAGGCAGCTATTAGTGTATGACTGACTGAGGTCTTTTTAAAAGCAAGTTGAAGTTCATTTTCAAGAACATATGTTTGTTTTTTAAGTGACAGATGTTAAAAAGAGGATACTGGATTGAAATATATAAGAAATTTAGCATCATTATTGACCCTGTATAAAAAGGGAGCGTTTTGTAACATTCCTTCAGGAAGAATAGAAATGTATACTTTTTCTGCATGTTTGTGAAAAGCACTGTGAGTGTTAAAAGATTATTCCAGTTTTCAATGATTTTCAGAATATAAGTCAATCAGCATTGTTATTTATCATTTAGGTATTGAACACTGGATTGCATGGTTGAATGTGTCTTTAGTCCACTACAAACGTGCTTGTTGTTGACAGGATCATATTAAATTGTATATTTTCAAAATTGATGTTTTTAAAATGTTGAGACCAAAGTAGCATAGAATAATTATGGATTTATTTTAATTTAATTGTAAAATTTTTAGAAGTATTTGTTGTAGAGCTTTATATATTAAAGAGAGGTATTGGTGCATATAAAAACAGTAATATTGTTATGCTTGTATTCTTGCATTACTGGGTAAGTAAACCCTGAAGAAATCTTTTTTAGTATAGCTACAGCTGCAGTAGCTTTTAAGGGCGTGTCAACATTTCATTATAAATTATAGCTTCCTGGTTCAGTATCTCAGCTGTTTCAGAACTTTCAGCCAAGTTAAATCTTTTTTGGTGTTGAAACTAAGTAAGTTGAGTAAGCTATTTTTTTTTTTTCCTACAGTAATCCACAATCTGTTCTTTGTGTGGGTTGGCACTTATTTATAATTCTTAAAATAAGGATAGCTTAAAGGAGCCAAATACAGTAGTTTTGCTTGCTACTGTTGAGCATGAGTAGCAGTAGTTTGTTTTCATTAATGCAGTTTTCACAGTGTATCCCAGAATTTTAAATCCTGGCCATAGAAAAGTTCAGTCATTTAGTGACAAAGAGTGCAGTAGTGGTTAGTACAGTGAAAAATGAAGGGGAATTTGTCTTAACAAATAAATGTATGACTCATGAGCATAGGAACATAGTATATAGCAGGTGTTTGACTTGTAAATTATAAATATGTATTGCTCCCCACCCGTTCCATTTATTTTCTTGGTATCGCAAAATGAGTTGACTCAGTGATTCTCAGCCTTAACTGCATATTAGAACACCCTGCAGAGCTTTTAAAAATATTGATACCTGAGTTTCATCACCAGCTAAATCACACCAGCTAAAACAGAGTCTCTGAAGGTGAAGTCAAATGCTTAGTTTCTTAAGGCTTTCCGGGTGGTTCTAAAGAACATGCAGGGTTGAGAAACACTAGTTTTCCCTTTTATAAAATGCTCTAATTACACTGGAGTGTGTTTGAAAGTATCAAAATAGGATATTGAGTTTACAACTACTATTAAATAGCACCAAATATAATGGTTTGGTTATATTTCTAAGTAATTTTTTTTTTTTTTTTAGTAATAAAAGGTATTTGGCTTTCCTTATTTGGGAAATGATTACAGTCTACCTTTTTTTCTATTTTATTCCTTTAAAAAAAAAAAAAAACCTGCCAGTAGTTTAAATATAAGCTTTTAATGTCTTGCATCTTTCTGCCCCCTTTTGCCTTTTAAGCTTACAAAAATGAATGTTTATTATTTGAGAAAGCATGTTTAAAAATTGCCGATGAGAAATATTATCATTGATGATTATGTGCTGTCTTACTATGGCCACTTTATCCATTAGTATAATACTAGATTATACTGGCCTGGTTCTTTGAATTTCATAACTCAAATGTTTTTTTAAAAATTGTCTTCCTCCTCCAAATTTTTGAAGGTTACTTTGCTCACGTACTTAAGTGGTTTGACTTAAGTACTTTGTTTACAATTTAAATGGATATTATATTATAACATTTAATAGAAGAAATGGTTATGGCCTATCTGAAAAGAATGTCAGCATGTCTTGGTGGTGTAGACTTAAAAGAAAACATTGTGAAATATTTTATAATGTGGAATGATCATTGAAATATCAAGGACTCTAATCATTGTATTTCCTGAATAAATGTATGTTTCTGAAGTTTCTAACTTACATTTTGTTGTCTCCTCTGGTAACAGTCTGGTTTCATACATTTTATTGTCTAAAATTTCACTAATTGTGTTTCTTCAAAGGTTGTTACAGTTTTGTAATTGTCGAATTGTAGAAAAACAAATTACTTGCTCATTAATTTTCAAGAACTTCCCAATTAGTACCGAGTCATAGTGTTTTTGTTTTTTTTTTTAATATTAGCAGTGTGTGCTACTTTAGTTCTTTAGTTGAAGGTAAAAAATTATAATACCAAAATGAATTGAATACTTCCTTAATAGGTGATTTCATCTATCAATTCAATTCTGATTCAAAGACATTAAAAATTTATATTCTTGTTCTTTGGATTTGAAAAATTGATAACTAAACAAAAAATGTGTTTCAGAAGCTATATATGAAATAACTTAAATGAGGTCAAGCATAAATCTATGGTGGTTACTGGAATGAAAGTTAAGGCTCCTATATTTTGCTTTGTCTTTCATAAAATAAAACAGAAAAAAATCTTGTGTGTTATTTTAAGAAGCAGTATGGCATGGAAGTAAGAGCTCAGAATCTGGAGCCTGACTACCCTGATTTGAACCTTCACCATTTCCACATAACTTTAACAAAAGTTCCTTCCCTGTGCCTTAGTTCCTTCATCTATGTAGTAAGAATCTTCTGTTATTATCTGTAAAGCCCTTGGAAAGGGGCATGACAGTGTCCTCTTACTTGCTGTTTCATGTGAAAATAGCTTCAGGACAAGACACTATGGTCAGTTAAAATCATCAAGTTCTTATTTTTTATGCCAAAAAACCTAACCTTTAAATTATGCTTATAAACTTTATCAAAGACTCAGGGAAATCAAAAATTAGTGGAGCTTGGGGTCAAGGATGGAAGTCATATTCAGAATGAAACTCATAACAAAATAAGTACAAGTAAGGGATTTGTTCAGTCAGAAAAACAATTTGTATAGAGACTATGACCTAGCTTCAGAAAATGGATTGCTAGAAATGGTACCTGACGAAACATGAGGCATAATGTACCATTATGAATTTATAAGAATCTTGAAAATGTATCGGGGGACCAAGGTAACAACAAAAAGCACTTCTCATTAGCCCCTCAGTTTCTTCAAAATTTAAGTAAAACAATATTTTCTAAATCTAATTCAGGTTTTGTCATATTCTCTGTTCTGGTTTTAATATAATGAAGTGGTGAACCATATTTTATACATTTTGTGTGTTCTTTGTGTGTTTAGAAAACCATCTGGTGGTGCAAGGGGTTAAGCACAGCACTGTGAAGCTATCTGCAGCCTCTGCAGCATGAGTTCAATCCCCAGCCAGCCAGAGAGCTACCCACATGGCACAGCAGACCTCTCCTATCTCACCTGCTATGTCCCTCAGCAGTGTATGTCAATAGATCTGCCTGTTTTGCTCCCCGCTCTGTCTCTGGTGAATCCTTTCAACACCTCCCCCCCCACACCTGTGACCTGCACCCCAGTTCTTGTATGCATAAATAAATCTTAGAAAAGAAAACCAGGTAAAATCTAAGACTGACTTTATATCCACAGCAAAAGATAATACACACTTGTCAACTTTATTCCTTCAATTTTTTTTTTAAGAATTTATTTGTGCATACAAGAACCGGGGTGTAGGCCTGAGGTGGGGGGAGGTGAGAAGATTCACCAGAGACAGAATGGGGAACAGAACCAGCAGATTGACTGAAATACACTGCTGAGAAGAGGAGCAGCGGTCGAGACAGGAGAGGTCTGCTGCGCCATGTGGGTAATTCCCTGGCCTGGGATGGAACTTATGCCTCAGTGGCTGGTGATCGCTTGATAGCGCTGAGACTTTAACCTTTGTGCCACCAGGGAGGCCCGATTAATTGACATAGTTTTAACCCAGAGTTTAGATGCTGCCTAAATCTGGCTCTGTATACTTTATCTTAAAGTGTTAGGGGTTGAGTTGTGTCCCCCCAAGAAGTGACCTTATTTGGAGACAGAATATTTACAGATAATCAAAGAGATTATTAAGGTGGGCCCTAATTCAATATATCTTAGTGTTCTTACAAAAAAAGGAAGGGGTGGGGTGGAGGAAGGTGTAGGAATATGTTCACAAACCAGAAGAACACCATGGGAAGTGATGGAAGAGATTGGGATGATTTTTTGACAAGCCAAGGAATGCCAAAGATTGCTACCAAAACACCAGAAGCAAGGAGAGGAATAAACAGATTCTCCCTAAGCTTTCAAAAAGAACCAAGCTTGGGCTTCCCCGTTGGTGCAGCAGGTTGAGCACAGCGCTGTGAAACTGTCCACAGCCTCTGCAGTGTGGGTTTGATTCCTGGCTGGCCAGGGAGATACCCACATGGCGTGGCAGACCTCTCCTGTCTCACCCACCGCTCCCCTCACCAGTGCTTTCGGTCTGTCTGCCTGTTCTGCTCCCCGCTCTGTCTCTGGTGAATCCTCTCACCTTCCCACCCCTCTGGCCTGTACCCCAGCTCTTGTATAAATAAAATAAACATTAAAAAAAAAAAGAAGAACCAAGCTCATGGACACCTTGATCTTGGACTTCGAGCTTCCAGAGCTAGGAAAAAATTTCCTTTAAGCCACAGTTTGTGGTACTCGGTTATGATAGCTCTAACAATCTAATACAAAAGAGAATCCACATTCTCCTAGTATGTCAAAAATGAGTCCAAGGAAAGCCAAATTTAGTGTGGCTTATCCCCTGTGCAAAGAGGTTTCAGTAAAAGTGGTTTTGGTCAGGGGATAAGGTCCCTGGCCTTTGGAGGTGAGAGAAACACTAAGTTCTTTGTTTTCTACCAGTGAATTGCTTTGTTGGACACCTGTGGGCCATGTGCTGTCTCCTGGGTTCATCAACCCCTCAGACATTACTTTTTCCCTCTCATTTCAGGCTGCCAGTTAGTGTATGATTATATCTTCAGTTTGAGGGCTTTCCAGGAGTTGGCAATGGCAGCAGAAGAGTTAGCACAGAGGAGAGGGGGTTCTGCAGCAACCCTTGCTCCAGTTGGAATGTGATGAGAATTTGTCTTTAGTCAGGATGCTTCATCATGTAAAGGTTTATGCTGGTTCTTACAGACCCTGTCCCTGATGCAAGGCATTCATGCAAACTACTGTGTTTTGTCTAAAACTCTTCTTTGGAGTAGACTAAAGTCCAATTGCTTGCTCAAAACCCACACTTTTCTCCCAGTATACTCTTCGCTAGTTCTTTCTTGTCTTTTTTTTAGGTTTCTTGGTGATTTTTATTTGTTTGTTTAAAAATTTTATTTTTTGAACTATAGTCCTGTGGCAAAATAAAATTAACCAATGAATTATGTCACTCTCCACTTACGCATTTTTAAATTAGCATCTTTTCCCCAGTACAGAGGTTTATAATTTTTTTAAGGATTTATTTATACATACAAGAACTGGGGTACAGGCCAGAGTTGTGGGGGGGGGGTGAGAGGATTCACCAGAGACAGAGTGGGGAACAGAACAGGCAGATTGACTGAAATACACTGCTGAGGGGAGCAGTGGGAGAGTCAGGAGAGGTCTGCTGTGCCATGTGGGTCACCTCCTTGACCAGGGATTGAACTCATGCTGCAGTGGCTGCTGCGAGCTACATAGGTTGTGTCTTAACCCCTTGCACCACCAGGGAGGCTCAAAGTTTATCATTTTTGTAAATTGAATTAGCACATTGAAAATACCACTTTCTACCTTGTAGGTAACTGTATCACAAAATAGTAAGTAGATTATAGCAATTTCCAACTGACTGCTATAGAAACGGCAGCAATTAAAGTGAGTGATAGCCCTACCAAAAAACTTTTAAAATTACAAAATGTATTTTAATAATTACCTAAAAATGGTTGAAGGAAGTGAAGTTGGAATAAGAGTTACTGATTATGGGTCTATTAATTTCAATAAAAACTTGAATTTGAATCTTCTTGGTAGTTAGACATAAAACATTAATTCATGAGTTCATCTCGCAATGTGTATTTATTGAGCATCTATTATGTACTGGAAAGTGTCCTTGGGATACTGCAGTAAGAAAGACAAAGTCCTGCTTATGAGGGGGCTCATAATCCTGTGGGAGAGCCAGAAGGACAAGAAAATGTACTCTCAGGTGTAGAGGCCTAGGGAGTCCCGGGGAGTAAGACACTGAATCACTCCTAAAGGTTTACTACTAGTGATTCCAGTCTCTTCTCGTACCGGGCTGTCTAAAGTGAGCTCTGGTATGTGGGCCCACCATATATGAGCAGCTATTTTGACTTTTCATCGGAACCTCCATAAAATGGGCTTCCCTAAACGCTTAACAATTACTACATACTTGCACTATTTTTAAAATACCACATGGTGGCACCAAAGTGCTATTTATTTTAGAAATTTTTAGCATTTCTTTCTAACTAAAGACCAGGCTAAGCTTAAATTCCAAAGAGTATTTTAATGCATGTTATAAATTCCAACTTCTACACAAAGATAACTATCAATAGCTCAAACTGAAGAGTACCTAGAAGCAGACCTTTTAATGTTAACTGATGTAAAGTATGTAGCCCCTTGTTAACTCCATACAGAGTACATTATGTTTTCCATGTAGTAAGAATCCAGTTCTTGGAGAACATGAAGAGTTATACAACTTTGCTGTTCACATCAGCCTGCAATCTGTTTTTAGCCTTTATCACTGAATAGAGGGGTTTTTTTAAGCTTAAAAATTAAAAAAAATAATAAAATTTAAAAGCTTTGTAAATGTGGAGCAAAAATTCTAAACACACCCCAAAAGAAAACCTATGTAAATTACCAAATTACATGCATATTATTCATTGCATGGGTTTTGAGTTGGTAGAAGGATTGAGTTAGTATTGTGTTGGTCCTTCTAAGTTGGCTGGAAATTAACTTTACTTCACTTAGGTATCTTCATTCAAGCTCAATAGAATAGTTGATTAGAAGAAAAATTGCTTCAGAAGGAAAATGGCAAGTTCCTTTATATAAACCAAAAATCATCTGAGGCATTGAGATTAACTTGATTTAATGACACTAAATTTGTCAAAATTTTTCTTTTCCATGAAAATGTATAAAGTAGGGACAAATTTCCTCTGTTCTCCAAAAGTAGAATGGTCCTATTTGGTTTGATTTGATGGGTTATATTTGGGTCTGGGAACACTCTTAAAAAGAACCTACCAACTCATACCAAGTAGGAAAGCTCTACTTTTGGATAATGGGGGAAAGCTGTATAAAGTAAAAAATGCGGTTAACATAAGTATTCTGTTCTGCCAGTCATGAGTTTGGCCTGAGTAATTTTGCTCTTCTCTGTGGGTTTGATTTCTTACCGTTAAATGAGTGAATTCTAAGCTCCTTCTGTTTCTGAAGATCTTTAAAATATCAAGGAGAAAGACTTTGGCATGACCTAAGGCAGGACTTTCTAACGGCAAGAATTGTCCAGAGATGGACTCAACTCCTATGGAGAAAAAAATATGCTAATGTTAGGTGTATCCAAGAACAGCAGGGATTTTGTTGAGCCGTTCTTGAGCTTGAGGCAAGTGATTGAACTAGCCTTAAGGGCCTTTTTGATCCTAAATTTCTAAATTCCTTATGTAAGCTACTTGATGGGAGTGGCCCCATGCCTTTCCCGAGGCTGCCTTAAAAACACAACACTCAGATCTCTAACTTAAGGGAGACTAATTAATTAGCAATCCCACAGGGGAATCCTGTCCCCCATTTCCTACCAGTTTGGTCCTTGTCAGTGACTGAGCACACCAGGCTTGTTCAGAAAACTCCTGGTGAGTGGGTTTGTCTTAGGGTCTCCCCTTTGGTCTTGCTGGACTTTGCTACTCACCTAACCTCTTCTTTCTCTATCTGACCTGGAGTTAAACTTGCATCTCAGTCGCCTAGCCCTAACTGTCTCCTTCAGCCCTCTTTCCTTTTCACCTCAAACATCTCCCTAATAATATGCATGTGTGATCTTGTATTGGCTTCTGTTTCTCAAAGGACTCAATCTTGCACAGCCCTCTAGCAGAGAGTCATACATTTAGGTCAGGGCTCCATCAGAATCAGGAACTTCTTAAATATGGAGAATCCAGAGCCCATGCCACATTCATCATCAGAAACAATGGAGATGGAATTTGTGTTCTTAAATCTCCAGGTGACTTAC